TAGCAAGACAGTCTTTCCAGACCTGAGGCTGGGTGGTGGGAGGTGTGATAGAAGAGAAAGGACATTAAAAATCAGCCCCGAGAGCTTCCAACTAAGATCAAACTAGCTCTGGAAGTTTTCTCCTAGCTTCCAGTAAATTATCTTCCTGCTTTATAGGCGTTGGCATTTGGCCAGTGAGATTAGGAGCCCCTGGGGGATAGGGACTGTATCTTATTCAACTTGCGTTCTTCCCAGAGGACCCAGTAAAGCGCCTGGCAGATGCTCAGGAAATGCACACTGAATAGAAGCGTATCTGTTATCCTGAAGCCCAAATGGTAATTAATGTCTGCAAGTGGGAAGGAGGAGCCTCTGGTCTGCTAGGTATGTCCCACACGACAATTATGTCACCAGAAACATGTGAGACCCTGTCCTTCCCAATCAGGTGTCAGAGACACACAACACCAGCTTGCATCCTTTAGGTCTCACTGAGTGGTGTGAACTCCCAGCCCGGATCACTCCAAGGTTCTCACACACAGGCCTAATGAAGGCAGGCAGTGCATGGAGCAGATGCTGCAGGCATTCTCTGAGAATGATAGAACAAGACTCTAATCATGGCTCCACTCTTCTTCCTTCCCTTACAGATTTGGAGCCCTGGTTAGACGTTAGCAGTAACTGGGATGCTTGTTTCTCTTAGGGAAGAAGAAGGAGGAGGAGCAGGAGGAGGAGGAGAGGAAGCAGCAGCAGTGGTGGCGGTGGTGGTGGCAGCAGCACTACTAGCAATTCTCTGGCATTCACCCTCATCTACCCATGGCTTCAGGAACAGCAGTGGTGGCTGAGGAAGGAGCAGGGAACATGGAGGTGGCCGGAATGCAGGCCTAAGATGCTAATGCCAACCTGCCTTACCTACCACCCTGGGTGCCCTCCCAACCCCCAGAATAGCAGGGGACAGAGAAAAAGGTAAGAATATGTATAAGGTGTTTGGGCAATATACCTAGGACTCCCCTAGTAAAGAATCTGGGAAACAGGAAAGGGAAAGAAGGGAGTCCGTATGACTATCAGGTAAGTTTCTTTACAGGTAGCTGGGCTCAAGATTACTTGGCTCTCTGTGGGCCTCTGGGAGCAGAAAATGATGGGAGATGTCTCACCAGTAGGGTGTTGGGGTGTTAGCTCTGGGCTGTCCAGGAATCATTTCCAGGTGGAATGTGCAGAGGCTGCTAGAGAGATGCTGCTTGACTTGTTCTGGGATCCTTGGGCACCGAGAGAACAACGGGCAGTCAACAAGGACACCCGCTACACCTCCCTCTGGGATGGCCCTGCTGAGGAGCAGGTAGGCTTCTTAACACCCCAGCCTCAGGAACAAAGCAGTTCTGCTTACCCAGCACTCCTAAGTCTCCATTAAAGCCAAAACAACATTTCTGCAGCCATCAGTGTGATCGAGCTTTAACAGCACGTTGCTAGGTGTGCTGCCTAGAGTAAGGTCAACAGTAGACACGGGGAAAACGAAGAGGTGCCTGTACTTCCATGAGCTAGACATCCTTAGTTTGAGGTCCATACTTAAACCAACAGATTTGGCAAACGGATGCTACCAGCCAGCTTGCTTATTCCTAACCACTGCTGGAGGAAGGTAGAGCTGGCAGGTGCCAGCCCATCTGGCAGAGGTGAGAAGGAAGGCTTAGAGAGTAAAGTGACTCCCCCACGATCTCACTGTTACACGAGTAGGAGCCATAACTGACACTGAGTTCTTTTGATTCCCAATTCATTCATTCAACTTCATTGGCAGGGGCTAGGCATTGTGCTGACCAATCCCACAGCCCAAGAATCAACAAGTAGAGAAGGGCCATGGCTTTCTGGTTCACTTGTGGGCTTCTTTCTAAAGCTGCTTCCTAGTCCCAACCCTTTTTGTGTTTTAGTTTTACAAAATGTTTCCTCTACTGTGGAGAAGCATTGGGCAGGCCCCAGAGCTTGGCACAAATGCGAAGCCAGGGAATGTCTCAGGAGGTCTGGAGGAGGAGGGGGCTGGGCCAGGTTCCAAGCCCCAGTGCACTGGAGATTATCTGAGTGCAGGCCAAGGAGCTGCTCTGGTAGGGAGTCTGGCTGCCCTGTCGAGTCAGCTTGGCCAGGGGAACTACTGCTCCTCTGCTCCCTCTGAGTAAGAGAGGAAGGCAAAAGCCAAGGAGACAGAAGCAGAAAGGACAGAGGAGGCATAAGAGGCTGGACAAAAAAATAAAATGTGGAGGCCATTGCAAGGTCATTGCCAAAACCTTAGGGATAGGCCCAACCTCCTGAAAGGTTCTAAAAGACAGAATTTTGATGACCCCTTTATAAGGGAGGGAAAAGTATATGTCTCCTGAGAAGGAAGCATGAATGCCTGGTCTCAGAGATCAGAGCCTGGCTCAATCTTGGCCTTAGTTTCCCTTTTGAAATGAAAGGGTATCTGGGAGTGGTTCCAGCTTGGCTAGCCCAGGCTAGCCCAAGTGACCCAGTGCTATCCATCATGATGGACCCTCAGAAACCCTCTGAGCTTTGAATACCAACTGCTGTGCTGATATATACACGTTCCCTGCATTCTAGTGGCTTCTTTTAGTCTCCAAAGACTATCCAACGAAGTGAAGTAAGACAGGTCCAGAGACACAAAGGATCTGTGTTTTCCTTTATATGTGGAAGCTAGATTTAGCTTACAAACTCATAAGTAAATGTGTTGAGGTGGAACTCAAGTGTATACAAAATGTATTAACTGAAATATGGTACATTCAAGAGAGATCTCAAATAGTATAATTCCTTAGAAAGCACAAATCAAAGTTAAGAAAAAAAAAACATCAAGAAGTAGGTACTTGAGATGGGGTAGGGTGGGGTCAAGAGGAAAGGGGTGGACAAATGAAGAGGTTAGGGGAATGTAGACAAGAATCCAATGTATATTCTGCAAAAGTAAGAAGTGTGAGGGAAGGGGTGGATAGGGAGGGATGGGTGAGAATTTTGAAAGGGGTGACATTGATCAAGATATATTCATAAACTGCTTTGTTAACTTCTGATGCCTGTGTGCAAAATCTAGATTTTTTTTTAAAGAACATCCAATGCTTCTATCAGGTACTAGGACCAGAGTCTATTCTATGAAGAGGTCAAAGGAGCATCTGAAGGCCTGGCTATGACATTCAATAAAAGCTGGACACAGTTTTGGGGGAGGGGAGGGGAGCATGTGTAGGTGTGGGTATCCATGTGGGCACATGGATGGTGGGGATAGTGGATGCTAGGCCTAGCCCTGCCAATAACCAGCCACGGATCCCTGGGAAACCCTTCCCTTCTTTGTACCTCAGTTTTCCCATTTTGCCACCAAGTAGTGAAACGAACTCATCTTTAAGGCTATCTGACATCCTGCATAGCAATAAGTGTGTGTGTGTGTTGGTGGGGGGACTGGGGGGTGCTACCAACCTCAGATACAAACAAAAAGACCCCAGGTGTCAATGCACCAAGAAAATCTAGCCTTGTTTTAGAACACTCTCATAACTTTGACAAAGTGCTTGTTATAACCGCTACTTACTGAGCAAAAATGCAAGGCATATATCAATGGGTGGTATCTCTCTTTGTTCCTTCTGCTTTCTTAAGAAGGGAGGTAGGACAAAGACAATCAAGGCTCAGAGAGGGCAAGTCATTTGCCTGATATGCTACAGAAAACGCCAATGTGTGGGAGACAGGTAACCTAGCACTGACTCTCTATTTTTTCTACTGCTTGCTGTACATAGCCAGATAATCCAGAGTCAACAGCCACAGGAACTGGAGTCTACACACCCAACATACAGAAAAAAGGCATTAAACCTGGCATGCACTTGGAGCTAAGATGGGCCAATCCATATTTTATAAAATAGTCTCCTAGAATGATATAATTTGAGAACTGAAAATGTGACAAGAGAATTTAGTTACAATCATTCAAAAAAAAAGTAAGTATCTTTGCCAGGATGCTTACTTTGTTCAACTCATGAAGAAATAAGACTTAACAAATGGGAAAATAATTACATTTGCCTAAAATGACATCTTTTGTGCATGCCAGAAAACTGACATGCGTTTCAATTACCTGCCAAGGGAAGACAAATGGGTGAACCTACAAGATGGCATTCTAGGTGACAATGCTTGAAAACACTCCCCCCCATTCATCCAGAGCCTGGTGGGATTTGTCTCAATGAATACGAATACGTTGCTTTCATTCCTTGCTTTCCCAAGATGAGCCAGCACACACAGTACAGCCCTCCTTTCTGGAGTTTGGACCACCTGACTGATGACTAAAAACTACAATGCATCACTGCCTCTTCTCTGGGCCTCCATTTTCTCCTCGTCACACAAGTGACTCAGCTTCGATGGTTTCTGTGGCCTAATGAGACACACCAAGTCTATGCAATGATCAGCACAAAACCATCAGCTGTGCAGGCAGTTTTGGAATGATCAGAGAACCAACACAGACCAGACTGGGAATGAAAGTATCCTAAGGGTTACTGTGAGAAGTTTCAGGTATGGCCACAGTATGACTGTGGCATCTTAGAAAGCCCTTATCTGGTAGAAATGCACACTGGAGTATTTATAGATTGAAATGAGCTAATGTCTAGGAGCTTCTATAAAATAGGACAGTGAAAAGTGGGGGGATGGGGGTGAGCAGAGTTAACACAAGCTCAGGAAAACCTGGATAATGGCTTGCACTAGGTGAAGGCGTCATAGTTATGCTGATCTCTCTAAGTGAGTGTCTGTGGGAAACTTCTATAATCAACCCAGCAACAAAGCTGGGATTCTCAACATATTGCAGCTGCCTTGTTGCCCTCCCCGCTGCCCCAGGCCTCTCAGTCCTGTGTGGGAGAGAGAGTGGCTTGACCAGATCTTCTCATGTGTTCCAGGAGAAGCATTTCCTATGGAGTCTTGCTTGTGCGATCTGGAATCTCAGGTCACAGTTGCATTTCTTGTTGATGTCTTTTATCACAGCAACATCACATCCCTGACTACCAATGCCATCAACCAGAAAGAATAAATATGGAGAAGCCTACCTTGAAATTGAGTAAATTTAATGGTCCCCATTCTCTCCCCATTCCGGAACACAACTTGACCCTAAACACAAATCAAAACAAACAGACAAGAAGAAAAGAGAAATGCCATGTTAGCCCAAACACCACGGAGCTCACTGGAACCATTAACTCTACAATGCCATCATTTAATACTGGAGAAAAATAGGCTCCCATTATACCACTGATGTGAAAATCAAACTAATTATTATTTTTTAAAAATTGGTTGTGACTTCATCTGGTGAGTGTGTGAGGGACACAAAAATCAATAATGGAACAATCACATGCGAATTAAAGCCACAATAACATCATCATTATTATTGTGACTGTTTATCAAATGCCCATGTATCCTTTGTTATCAAGGGGACAGGCTTTAGGGAAGAGAGCGGCAGAGGTGAGGTCCTTAGAGGCTGGCCCTATGATCCCAGAAGCCTGTGGGGCTTTGTTGAGGTCCCTTGGCTTGAGATTCAGAAGGGTGCTGGAGGTTAGTGTTGCTGATTATGGACAGAGTGCTTTGTAAGATTTTTTTTTTCCTTAATGGTGAAGTCAGCCCCAATTATAGTATAGTATAGCACAAAATTAAGTTTCTACAGTGAGCAAGACCTGACTGTAGTCACAGGAAGCTGAATGCCCTTCATTAGGGATCCTGGACAGTACAGATGGTGCCATCTTGTGTATCTAAGTCTTGCTGGCTAAGCACATCAGGAATTTAGAGGGAAGGTCATCTCTTTCTGTATATTTGTGGGCCACTGAGAATTCTGCCACCACGCAAGGCAATGACTAGCTTAGGTGGAGAGGGAATGATATCCACATTTCACATCAAGAAACAGGTTGAGCAAGGCAATGTACTCCTACAAGGTCACATTGAGGCTGGGATTCAAACCCTAGCTTTTTTTAAAATGCCTGTGCTATTTCACTTCAGCAGGTTGTGGTTGACTCACAAACAAATTCCTCCTAATCTTCTCAGGGTTGGAATTAGCAAAAGAAATCGTTTGAAAGGCCCCTTGCTTTTTGCTCAGTGCCACCTGCTTATACCACCAGGACAGAGCATAGACAGAGCTCCCATCGCCTTTGATTCCATTCTGATTCACTCTTGGGAGAAGAGTTCAAGAGAGAACATTGCTAGAGGTGAGGTCTTTGGGCTATATAAGGCCTGAGAAAACATTTGGTACATGATGGGACAGGTATGCATGCTCCTCCTGGAAGCCTGATGCATCTTCCTGTAGAGAGAGAGAGAGAGAGAGAGAGAGAGAGAGAGAGAGAGAGAGTGTGTGTGTGTGTGTGTGTGTGTGTGTGTGTGTGTGTGTGTGTGTGTTGGTCCTGGGGCTTGAACTTAGGGCTCTCAGGGCTTGCTTGCTGTCCCTTAGCTTTACATTCAAAGTTGCTGCTCTACCACTTGAACCACAACTCCACTTCCAGTTTTCTTGTGGCTAATTGGTTAAAAGATTCTCATGTCCTTTCCTGCCTGGGCTGGCTTCGCTTCAAATCATGATCCTCAGATCTTAGCTTCCTAAGTAGCTAGGAAGCTACTTAGCTTAGTAGCACAAAGCTTTGTATTGATCATTTTGTATGGCTCTTGAATGATGTTATACATATCCAAATGGCTCCTGGTGGAAGTAGCGCTGTGGCTCAAGTGATAGAGTACTCACCTTGAGCTGTAAGAACTCAGGGACAGTGCCCAGGCCCAGAGTTCGAGCCCCATGACTGACAAAAACAAAAGCAAAACAAAACAACACCCCCCCCCCCCCCCCCAACCAAATGGTTCCTGGTTAAAAAAAAAAGTTTCCTGTCGCTGTGTGAAACTCTAAAGTGTACGAGGCCCTGAAACTCTCAGAGCAAGAGACCCAAACCTGCCTTCAGGAGAAACACCTTCCAAGGCCACTCTGACACCTTTTGAAGTCCTGAAGACAGCTGTGAGTAGCACCCTTTGAAGCTGACACCCAGGAATTCTATATTCAGTGCTGGTAAGCAATTCCTCAGCCTGTGAAGACACCTCAAGGGAAGGTGTGATTTGATTTCTAGAAATGATTGGAAATCGCAGAACACCTTTACAGAAGCTCACTTGGATGCAAATGGACCACTTAGCCGGGAGTGGAAAGGATACAAACATCCACAAAGAGAACTTTTTTTTTTTTTTTACAACAAATTCACCAATGTCTTGCCATGCTTGGAAGAATTCTTAAGATTACTAGGTTTACAAGGTAGAAAACTGTGCAGAGTCTTTGTGAGTGAAATAGCAAGTATATGGAAGGGTGTCCCAGCCTAGATGGCACAACATAAGACTGGGGAGAAGGGGTAGCGTAGGAAGCAAGCCCCTCCACTTTTGGTTTCTCTTTGCTTTTCTTTTGTTTTGTTAGTTGTCGGGCTTAAACTCAGGGCCTGGGCGCTGTCTATAAGCGATTGCATTCAAGGCTAGGGCTCCTACCACTTGAGCCATAGCATCACTTCGTTTTCTGGTTATTAATAAAGATAAGAGTCTCGTGGCCTTTCCTGCCCAGGCTGGCTTTGAACCATGGTCCTCAAATCTCAGCATCCTGAGTTGCTAGGAGTGCAGGTATGAGCCACCAGTGCCTAGCAACTAAAACCAGTTTTATTTTACTGACAATACCTACTTTTTGCCAACAACTTTCATGTTCCCTTAATTTCTCAGGCAAGGCATAGAAAGGAGGTCAGTGTTGGAGTCCCATAGACCTGGGTTTCATCTCCTCTCACCAAGTTCCTGAACATCTCTGAGTTATAGACCTAACAGCATAGCTGAGATAACAGGTGCACAGTAAATGGCTGCAATCATTTTTATTTAAACACTTTTAATAGCCGGGAGCAGAAATGAAAAGATAGGAAGCTCTCCAGCTTCTGGAAAGAGCTTTCTACCCTCAGTGTGGTTGTAACTGGCAAAGGGGTAAACCAGGGTGACCTTTGCCTCTGAAACATCTCCCAATTGGAGTGAGTCTCCAGAAGCCCTACCCACTGGGGGTCCTTTGTGCCCTACGAGGAAGGGGATGTCTAGGACTCTGGTGACTGGTATTGATGGGAACACAGTGGGTAACTAGCTCTGCTAAGAATCTGAAACCAGTGAAGCCATCTTATTACCTGATCACCCACTGGGTTTGGCAGATGAAGCCCCCTCTGATACTCTGGTTACTGCTAACTGGATAGGGGACCACAGACCCAGCTAAGGCAATCTTGATGGGATTGGCATGAGGAGGCCATGTGCCCATGAAGAAATTTTTCTTTTTAAGAAGTGTATTAGGGCTGGGAAGGTGGCTCAGTGGCAGAGCGCTTGCCTTGCATGCCTGAGGCCCTGGGTTCGATTCCTCAGTACCACATAAGCAAAAAGAAAAAAGCCGGAAGTGGCGCTGTGGCTCAAGTGGTAGAGCACTAGCCTTGAGCTGAAGAGCTGAGGGACAACGCCCAGGCCCAGAGTTCAGGCCCCACGACCAGAACCCCCCCCCAAAAAAAACAAACATGTATTAGCATACATTAGTTAAGGGGAGCTTCGTTGTGACATTTCCAGACGTGCATGCAATGTACCCGGTCAAACTCATCCCCTCTATTTGTTCTCCTTTATTCTTCCCATCCCATGAAAAGATTTTTCACTAAAGTGTCCAGCTAGGTGCTGGTGCCTCATAGAGGCTGAGATCTAGGGATCCAGCTTTTACAGCCAGCCTAGGCAAAAAAGAGCATGAGGCAACACAACAGTTTATGAATAAGATGCTTTTTGATACATGTTAGTTACCCTTTAAACCTGTGAGACTTTTATCTCTAATTAACTACCAAGAAGCCAGAAGTGCAGCTGTAGCTCAAACAGTAGAGTGCCAGCCTGGAATTCAAAAGTTAAGGGACAGTGCCCAGGCCTTGAGTTCAAGCCCCAGTATCAGCATCAAATATAAAAAAGAAAAGAACTTCTCCATCTAGTAGCTGCCTTTCCATATTCGAAGATAATGCACACAACACAAATATATATCTACTCCATGTCAGATACTTTCTAATTTTTGAGACAATCTTACTATAATTGATTAGGCTGGCCCCAATCTCAGGCTTCAGGGATCCTCCTCTCTGCCTTTCGATTAGCTTGGATTCCAGGTATGTGCCACCATGCCCAGCCCAGGTACTCTTGTAGGTACTGACTCCTGCTCTAGGAGAGGTTTGTATTTGATCGGGAAGGGAGAACAAAACTATGGCATCGATAAGTGAATGAAGAGTTTCTATCAGCGTTGAAGGCCATGAGGATGAAGAAAGGGAGAAGATGCTGATTTAATTGTGTTGTCAGTTAAGACTTCAGTCAGTAAGAGGTAACATGAGAGCTGAGGCCTGAGTGTGGCAGGCAGGAGACATCCCAGCCAAAGGGAAGAGCCAAGCATAGGCAGGAAAGGGTTTGTAGTGTTGAACAGGAAGAGCGACCACGGTGCCGTGGCAGCAGCAGGCAACGAGAGAGCGGGGCAATGCAGGGTAGGCAGTCGGCAGGGCCAAGGTCATGTTTTATCTGGAGATCTTGAGGGGGTCTGGAGATGTTTTTAATGTCATGACCAGCTACAAGTGTAGCAGGTCAAAACAAAGCTGTCCCAAGATCTAGCTGAAGATTCGAGAAGCTTGCTCTGACAGTTGTGAAGGCCAGGGCTCTCCTGCCTGGGAACAGTTCTGGCATAGCCAAGAGGCAGGGAGCCACAGCCCGGTGCTTCTGTGAGGTTCACAGGCAGTACTGTGGCAGAGCTGGCCAAAGTCAGAGGGCGCTGCGGAGGGTAGAGGTCACTGCCCAGCTCAGCCTAATGGTCCCAACAAAGACCTGTGTTTTTCTACCTCAGTGCATTTGGGGGAGAGTTTCTTCCTTCCTGCACATGACCTGGAGTGTACTCTGCCTCTGGACTGTGGGTTTGCTGTGGGAGGTGTACTCACATGAGGGCTTTCATTTTTGCTATGAGAGGAGACAGTAGGATCTGCTCTGATAGCTCACAACAGGGCATCTAAGTAGTTAACACTTGAGTACAAGAGCACCCTAGTCAGGCCCAGAAGATGGGAGCCCATCTATCGCTGGCACTGGCAGGATGG